TGGAAGATGAGTACAATGCCAACTACGAGGTTTTTGTGAAACGCCAGGCATTGTTGAAGAAGAAATTTATGCGTGAACTGATGAGCGGCACCCGATATGAAATGCTGGCCTTTGAGCACGAAGCTGAAATGACCAATATTTACTCCGGCACCATTCGCTACTTGTACGAAATGTCAACCGTTCGCGCCCTGGCCACCATGCGTTTTCGCTTTTTTTACAACGGCAAAGGCTTTGGTTTGATGGGCCCGGTTGAAGTAGAGTATTGACTTAGCCGTTTTTATCTTCCAGCAAGGGAACAAAGCGAAACTCACCATATTCTTTTTGCACCAGCCTGCCGTCATTTTGCTTGGTAAGCACTTTCATTTTTTGAACGTTTTGCCCCACGGGAATAACGAGTCGCCCACCGGGTTTTAACTGCTCCACCAGCGGTTTGGGAATGTAGGGCGCTCCTGCGGTTACTACTATGCCATCAAACGGGGCCTGACTGGGCATTCCCTTATAGCCATCGCCATATTTCATGTGAAAGGTATAGCCCAGCTTTCGCATGAGATTGCGGGTGTGGTCAAAGAGTTCTTTCTGGCGCTCAATACTAAACACCTTAACGCCCATTTCGTGAAGCACAGCCGCCTGATAGCCGCTGCCCGTGCCAACATCAAGTACTTTATCGCCCGCTTTTACCGCCAGTAATTCCGACTGAAAAGCCACGGTGTAGGGCTGCGAAATTGTTTGGCCGGCCGCAATGGGAAATGGTTTGTCTTGGTAGGCAAACTCCTCAAAGCTGCTATCAATAAACAGGTGTCTTGGTATTTTACCAATGGCCTTGAGTACTGATTTGCTGCTGATGCCCTTTTCAATGAGCAACCGTACCAGCTGATTGCGCTTTCCCTTATGTCTAGGCAAATCATCCATAACTGCAAAGGTGCTTATTGTAAGCTACAAAAATGCTTTTTACGGCTATGAAAAAACCAACATTTAAATGTTCAAATCAATCTTGAATTTGGGCCATTACGTGATAGCGCGGATCATCAACATCGGGTTCAATAACCCGGGCCAATTTGGGCGAGGCTTTCATCATCAGACGTTGGCACTCTTCGCTCAGGTGGCGAATGGTTAACTGCTTGCCCGCGGCTTCGTATTTTTCTACCAAATTGTACAACGCCTCCAGGGCTGAATGATCGGCCACTCTTGACTCAATGAAGTCTATTTCCACCTTGGCGGGATCGCCCTGGATGTCGAACTTGCTATTAAAAGCTTTAACACTGCCAAAAAACAAGGGCCCCCAAATTTCATAAACCTTGGTGCCATCCTCTTTCAAATGCTTGCGTGCGCGGATGCGTTTTGCGCTTTCCCAGGCAAACACCAATGCGCTCATAACAATTCCGGCCATAACGGCAATGGCCAGGTCAAACACTACGGTTAAAGCAGAAACACTGATTAAAACAATGGCATCGCTCAGCGGAATTTTATTGAGAATGCGAAAGCTAGACCAGGCAAAGGTGCCTATCACCACCATAAACATCACGCCTACCAGCGCAGCAATGGGAACTTTTTCAATTAATCCCGCTGCGAAGAGAATAAACATCAAAAGCGCCAGTGCCGCAACTATTCCAGACAGGCGGCCTCTTCCGCCCGACTTTATATTGATGATTGACTGCCCAATCATAGCACAACCGCCCATGCCGCCAAAAAGGCCCGTAACAATATTGGCGCCCCCTTGTGCCAAACACTCGCGATTTGAACTGCCGCGCGTTTCGGTAAGCTCATCCACCAGGTTCAAGGTCATTAATGATTCAATTAGGCCAATGGCGGCCAAAATAATAGCGTAGGGTCCTATAAACTTTAAAGTTTCCCAGGTGAAGGGAATTTTTTCAAATATGGCCAATTGGAAAGTGGGCAGGCCACCGCTTATGCCTTCTCCCCCGCCTTCGCGGATGAAACTACCCACCGTAGAAACGTCTAAGCCAAAGCCTATGGCAATACCCGACACCACTAAGATGGCGATTAGCGCCTCGGGCAAACGCTTGTAAAGCTTGGGCAGGAAATACATAATGGCCATGGTTAGTGCAACCAAACCGAGCATCAGATAGAGTTTTTCGCCCATGAGCCATTGCTTTTCGCCATTCACTACCGTTTTAAACATGCCCAACTGCGAAAGGAAAATCACAATGGCTAAACCGTTTACAAAACCCATCATAACCGGATGCGGTATAAGGCGCACGAACTTTCCCAACTTAAAGGCGCCCACCAACATTTGTATGGCGCCCATTAAAATAACGGTTAAGAAAAGGTAGTACAGGCCCATATTCTCGCCTTCAGCGCCCATGGCATTTCCCCTACTTACCAGGCTCACCATAACCACCGCCAAAGCTCCCGTGGCCCCGCTGATCATGCCGGGTCGGCCGCCAAATGCCGATGTAATAAGGCCTACCATAAATGCCGCGTACAAACCCACCAGTGGGTCTACGCCCGCCACAAAGGCAAAGGCAACCGCCTCGGGCACCAGGGCCAGGGCCACCGTTAGGCCACTAAGAATATCATTTTTAGCGTTGGCTGATCTTTTGCGAATGAATTTCATCATAGTACCGGGCTTTTCAAAAAAGTGCGCAAAAGTACCGATACTTAATGGCTAAGCCAAAGGGCAATACCATGTTTCGTCAACTTTCCAGAGCGGCCAAATTTTCCACTCATCCGCTTTAAACGATTAAGAAAATAGAAACGATAATTTATAATTATAATCCTACATTTGGTATGATTTAAACATAACCCTATGACTGCTGAAAGCATTAAGTTTATTGAGCGCAGGGCGCGGGAATGGAATATTGGCGTTCCCAGAATTGGAGCCGTAAGCATTTTGAAAAACGACACCATTTACTACAAAGGCCGGCACTTTGAAAAGTTTGAATGCCCCGAACTTGGAACCAATTATCGCTGCGTAGAAACACAGGAATATTATCTAATTACCGACTGCAACCCCAACGGGGAAGACACCAAACTGAATGCCTCTTGTCAGGTGATGGTTGACGATGATGTTCACGAATACTACTGGAAGAAAATTAGAAAGCACCTCGATTAATCCCTGCCCTTCAACTTACAAATGCGCCTGCCTGAAGATTTGAATTTTTTATCGTAATTTTGATGTTGCAACACTGAGTTTTGCTTTTGTATGAACGCCCTTTGCGATCATACCGTTATAAAAGCTGATGCTCAAGTGATTTATAAATAGCAATATCATTTATGAAAAGTGTACTTCACAAAGCCCACAGCCGCGGACAAGCCAACCACGGCTGGCTAAAAAGCTACCATTCCTTCAGCTTTGCCAATTATTACAATCCGGAGCGTATGCACTTTGGCGCACTGCGTGTATTAAATGACGACAGCGTGGCGCCCGGCAAAGGTTTCGGCACCCATCCGCACGAAAACATGGAAATAATCTCCATTCCGCTGCAAGGCGACCTGGAACACAAAGACAGCATGGGAAATACTGCGGTAATCAGAGAAGGTGACGTGCAGGTGATGAGCGCAGGTACGGGGATATACCACAGCGAATACAACAAAAACTCTGATAAGGAAGTGAAATTTCTGCAAATTTGGCTTTTCCCCAAGCAGAAAAACGTTGAGCCGCGGTATGATCAAATTAGTCTGAACGAGGCGAAAACAAAGAATACTTTTCACCAGGTATTGTCGCCTAATAAAGAGGATGAAGGCGTTTGGGTGCATCAAAACGCCTGGTTTCACATTGGCAGGTTTGAGGCAGGTAAGCAGGAAAGTTACACGCTTAAAGCGGAAGGAAACGGGGTGTACGCATTATTACTGGAAGGCCAGGCAGAAGTTGAAGGGCAGGCGCTGGAAAAACGCGATGCCATTGGCCTGTGGGATACGTCCGAGATTTCATTTCGCTTTACCGAAAACAGTCGCATACTGTTGATGGAAGTGCCCATGCAGATTGGCTAATTGCCCGAGGCCCAGGCTTGCGCTGGAAAAAATTCAAACCACCATTATCGGTTTTGTTAATTTTATAGCATGAAACGCGTAATTCTTGTTGGCCTTTTTTGGGGCATCTTTTGCCCGCTCCAGGGTATGTCTGACACCCTGCACAGCAGCGAGCACTTCACTTTTCACAACAAATTGTGGGTGAATTTGCACCACTACCTTTACGAACTTGCCAGTGAACGACAGCTTTCGCACCTGAAAAAAGATGGCAGCCATTACATGGACATTGGCGACAGCCTGGCCTTCAAAAGGCTATCGGTCAAAGATTCTGCAATTATGGGGCAAGCCATTCGGTTTTACCGAGACAGTGTGATTGATAAGCCCCTTTTGTTTTCGGGAAAGCGCTTGCGGTGGCTTCAGGCGCAATCAACCGCCCGGCCAATTACAGTCACCGGTCAATTGCATTCCTTTGCAGAAGTCTTAAACCGGGTAAGACCTA